CTGTAACAGCTGCTACTACTTCCTTATGAACATCCATCTTGTAACAACTGCTACTACTTGCTTATGAACACCCATCCTGTAACAGCTGCTACTACTTCCTTATGAACATCCATCTTGTAACAACTGCTACTACTTGCTTATGAACACCCATCCTGTAACAGCTGCTACTACTTCCTTATGAACATCCATCTTGTAACAATACTACTACTTCCTTTTGAACATTCATCTTGTAACAACTGCTTTTACTTCCTTATGAACATCCATCTTGTAACAAGTGCTACTACTTCCTTGTGAACACCCATCCTGTAACAACTGCTACTACTTCCTCATGAACATCCATTTTGTAATCACTTCTAGTATTTCCTTATGAAATCCATCCTGTGATAACGGAAAAGAGAAAAATGTTACATTTTTATATACTACATTTTTTTCTAGGCCATTGCCGAAGAAACGTTTCGTTAAATCCAGAGCTCTTCAGGTTGACTGGGATACAAGAAACACAGCAGTAGTTGTAACACTATAATAAATGGGTCAATACACAATACCATGTCAATTAATTGTTAATAAAATTTAAATCCACACCAACGAAACAATACCAAATATCCACATGTCCATTTCAGTTCAACGTTGTTTGTGAAGAAAAGATACACTGTTTACTTTATAACGTAAGTTCCAATTCCTTGAACCGCATATGACGTCAGAATGGGATTCAATTTAGGGTGACCTTCATATGCGTTGCAGTTTCTCAACCTTTGGGTTAACGGACTTTCGGGATTTGTCTTTAGATTTAATTTTAAGTTCTATGTATTAGCTTAGTTGTTTGATTGTATGATGAAGTTTCGAGAGATATCTGTGTTAACCGTTTCTAATTTTGAGTGATAAATAAAAGAAACGGCAGCTAGTTAACACCACCCATCGTTGAAGTAATAAACAAAAGAAAAGGAAGCTAGTTAACGCCACACATCGTTGAAATATTGAACAAATGAAAAGGAAGTTAGTTAACACCACCCATCGTTGAAGTAATAAATAAAAGAAACGGTAGCTAGTTAACACCACCCATCGTTGAAGTAATAAACAAAAGAAACGACAGCTACTTAACACCACCCATTGTTGGAGTAATAAACAAAAGAAAATGAAGCTAGTTTACACCACCCATCGTTGAAGTTATAAACAAAGAAACGGTAGCTAGTTAACTCCACCCATCGTTGAAGTTGTAAACAAAGAAACGACAGCTACTTAACACCACCCATTGTTGGAGTAATAAACAAAAGAAAAGGAAGCTAGTTAACACCACCCATCGTTGAAGTAATGAACAAAAGAATAGGCAGCTAGTTAACACCTCCCATTGTTGAAGTAATAAACAAAAGAAAAGGAAGCTAGTTAACACCACCCATCATTGAAGTTATAAACAAAAGAAGCGGCAGCTACTTAACACCACCCATTGTTGAAGTAATAAACAAAAGAAAAGGAAGCTAGTTAACACCACCCACCGCAGCTCTTAGGTACGTTTTTAAAAAACAAATAGTGGAATTGAGTGTCACATTATAACGTCCACACGGCTTTAAGGGCGACCGTGGTTAGTGAAGGATTCGAACTCAAATGTCTTAACCATCATGTCATGTCAAATCCCGAAATCTAGGGAAAAAAGTGAAATAGAAGTACAGGTATCGACATAACACTATTTAAAATATCAATATAACACTGTTAAAAATACCAATATAACACTGTTTAAAATAAAGATTCAGAGTGAAGGAAATCAAAGTGGAAATTCAAATTTCTTACATTAAGAGTGAAAGACAGAATGAAAGTTATTAGTTTTATAAAAAATGATTCAAACTTTCATCTGTTTCTCAGCTACTGAAAAAGAAAACAGTCGCTCAACGAGCTCTTTATCTAACTTTATATAAACAAGAGGGAAATAATCTATACTTGACTTCAGTTCACTGGAAACATTACCTCTACATGAGTTTATATTATACACTTTAAGTGTGTGAGTTATATACTAACAGTTTATATTGTACACTTTAAGTTCGTGAGTTGAATACTAACAATACAGTTTATATTATACACTTTAAGTTCGTGAGTTAAATACTAACAATACAGTTTGTATTATACACTTTTAACTTAAAGTGTATAATATAAACTGTATTGTTAGTATTTAACTCACGAACTTAAAGTGTATAATATAAACTGTATTGTTAGTATTTAACTCACTAGTTTAAAGTGTATAATACAAACTGTATTGTTAGTATTTAACTCACTAACTTAAAGTGTATAATATAAACTGTATTGTTAGTATTTAACTCACTAACTTAAAGTGTATAATATAAACTGTATTGTTAGTATTTAACTCACTAACTTAAAGTGTATAATATAAACTGTATTGTTAGTATTTAACTCACTAACTTAAAGTGTATAATATAAACTGTATTGTTAGTATTTAACTCACTAACTTAAAGTGTATAATATAAACTGTATTGTTAGTATTTAACTCACTAATTTGTGAGTTAAATACTAACAATACAGTTTATATTATACACTTTAAGTTAGTGAGTTAAATACTAACAATACAGTTTATATTATACACTTTACGTTCGTGAGTTAAATACTAACAATACAGTTTATATTATACACTTTAAGTTAGTGAGTTAAATACTAACAATACAGTTTATATTATACACTTTACGTTCGTGAGTTAAATACTAACAATACAGTTTATATTATACACTTTAAGTTCGTGAGTTAAATACTAACACTACAGTTTAAGTTCGTGAGTTAAATACTAACAATACAGTGCACAGAACTTCTGATTTGAGCTGCTGCTACTGAAGGTCGTGTACGAATTGAGTCTTTCTTGGTTTGAAGCGACTCAGTTCGTTTCCTTCATCAGTCACCATGAGATGGTTTGTAAGCAGGTTGGATCTAAGAGGTTGGATTTTAATAACCATTCTTTTTCTGGTAGTTTGTGCGTGTAAACAACAGACAGACTTCTTACAATGTGACTCGGAAAAAGACAGTTCATGCGATTCTCAGCCAGAAAAACAAACCCATTGGCTGTCCGAAAATTTACAAAAATCGTCTGCGTGCAGCTTCGTAACACCCGAGGACAGGATTGACTGCGTTCCCCACGCTAACCCAACGCCTGAAACATGCAGTCACCGGGACTGTTGTTGGAATCCTGACGTGTATAGTCCGACAAGTACGGATAACTTCGGGCGCGTGCGCTCAGGCCCTTCTCCCTGTTTCTACCCACCCAACCACCAATACTATAAAGTTAAAGAAGTTAGAGAAATGCCATGGGGTCTACAAGCTGTATTAAAGAGAACAAAAGATTCTGGCTATCCCCAGGATGTCAGTTTATTAGCAGTGGATATTGTTTATATCTCCAAAGAAACTTTACGTGTTAAGGTAAGGGTTTTATTTTTGCCTTGATAAGTAATGTTTCACGTGCTTTAATGTTTGTGTTTAAGTAACGTTTACGTGCTCTATATTGATGTTTAAGTAATGTTTCCGTGCTCTATGTTGGGGTTTAAGTAATATTTCAATGCTCTAACACGGAAAGCTAAGACTACCGTAAGTCTAACCTTAAGCATGAAGTTTTACAAAGAAACAGTCGCCACATTTAGAAGAACTAGTAACTACATGTACTTTCCCCATTTTCAGCGGAAACAATCACGTGATGCTTGAAATATGTTTCTGGGACGGTGTTTTTTCATGTATGAAGTTGTTATAAAAAAAAAAGACACGAAGCTATTGCCACTCACAAGACAAGCGTTATGAAATGGAAACATAATGTCCGTTTTTTTTCTTCCTGTACTTCAGTTGAACATGAATTTCTACGAAATAAAACATGTACTAAACGTATTACTTTAAGTGTAGAAACACAAAATCACGTGTTTTGTTTATTTATTGTTAAGTACAAAAATACGCAATAAGTTGTATATGCTCTGCCCCACACAAGTATCAAAACCCGAATCTTAGCGTTAAAAGCTATGAGACTTACGGCTGAGCCACCAGGAGGCACACAGTTTGTTTGTTTTTTGAAAATCGAACGCTTACAACTTCTAAACAGGATGAGTTTTGCTCTTTTCACATAACATTTCTTTTCTCCGGCAGATTTACGATGCCAAAGAAGACCGATACGAGGTTCCTGTTCTCAATATACCAAAAGTCAAGACGGCGCCTCAAGTCACAGATTACGAAATACAAATACAAAATGATCCAGTCAGCTTTAAGATAGTGAGAAACACGACAGGGACTGTTTTGTAGGTACATTCTAATAAATATTCTTTAGAAATGTGACCTCTATTTTGGTAATTATCTTATATTATTCGGTCGTGAAACACACATTTGGATAACACAATGATATATTTACAGTGTTGTTAATACGTCGTAAAGTTGGGAACAATGTTTCCATCGTCCTCATGGCTTCACATTCTGGCAGCAACATACTTAAAAGACTCTTAAAATGAAAAACAAAGTTATGTAAGATTTCTGGTAAAAATGGATTTCATTTACATGTTAGGTAAGGCACAATGAAACATTTGTTTTTGTTACTTCATTTACAAGTTAGGTAAGGCACAATGAAACAGTTGTTTTTGTAACTTCATTTATATGTTAGGTAAAGTACAATGAAACAGTTGTTTTTGTAACTTCATTTACATGTTAGGTAAGGCACAATGAAACAGTTGTTTTTGTAACTTTTTTTGACATGTTAGGTGAGGCACCATGAAACAGTTGTTTTTTTAACGTCCTTTACTTATTAGGTAAGGCACCATGAAATAGTGTTTTTGTAATGTTTTTTACTTGTTAGATAAGATATCATGAAATAGTGTTTTTCTAACGTCCTTTTACTTGTTAGGAAAACTATGTGTCTTTTTATAATATCTTTTAAACGTATGTAAAGTAAGTGTAACAAATGTATTGTAACATCCTATAATTATGTGGTAAAGTAAGTGTAAGAAGTTTCTTGTAACATCATATAATTGTTTGGTAAAGTGTAATACATTTCTTATAACATCCTATAATTGTAATGTAAAGTACGTTTAACAAATTTCTTATAACATTCTATAATTAAATGGTAAATAACGTATAACAAGTTTTTTGTAACATCGTGTAACGAGTTTCTAGTAACATCATATAATTGTTTGGTAAAGTACGTGTAATACATTTCTTATAACATACTATAAGTGTATGGTAAAGTACGTGTAACAAATTTCTTGCAACATCCTATAATTGTATGGTAAGGTATGTGTAACAAATTCTGTAACATCCTGTAATTGCATGGTAAAGTACGTGTAACCAGATTCTTGTAAAATTTTATAATTGTATGGTAAAGTACCTGTAATAAATTTCTTATAACATCATAGAGTTGAATGGTGAAGTACTGAAACATGGTTCAAGTAACATCCTACAATTGTGTGGTAAAGTACGTGTAACGAGTTTCTAGTAACATCATATAATTGTTTGGTAAAGTACGTGTAATATATTTCTCATAACATCCTACAGTTGTATGGTAAAGAACGTGTAACAATTTTTTTGTAAAATCCTATAATTGTATGGTAAAGTACGTGTAACATGGTTCATGTAACACCCTATAATTGTGTGGTAAAGTACTTGTAACAAGTTTCTTGTGACATCCTATAATTAAATGGTAAAATACGTGTAACAAGTTTCTTGTAACGTCCTATACTTGTATGGTAAAGTACGTGTAACAAGTTTCTTGTAACATCATATAATTGTTTATTAAATTACGTGTAATACATTTCTTATAAGATAATATAATTGTATGGTAAAGTACCTGTAATAAACTTCTTATAACATCCTCTAGTTGTATGGTGAAGTACAATAACATGGTTCAAGTAACCCCTACAATTGTGTGGTAAAGTACGTGTAACAAGTTTCTTGTAACATCCTATAGTTGTTAGTGAAGTACTGTAACATAGTTTATGTAACTTCCTATAATTGCATGGTAAAGTACGTGTAACAAGATTTTTTGTAACATCCTTTAATTGAATGGTAAAGTACGTGTAATACATTTCTTATAACATCCTATAATTGTATGGTAAAGTACGTGTAACATGGTTCATGTAACACCCTATAATTGTGTGGTAATGTACGTGTAACAAGTTTCTTGTAACATCCTATAATTGTATGGTAAGGTACGTGTAACAAGTTTCTTGTAACACCCTATAATTGTGTGGTAAAGTACGTGTAACATCTTTCTTATACCATCCTATAATTGTATAGTAAAGTACGTGTAACAAGTTTTTATAACATTCTATAACTGTATGGTAAAGTACGTATAACAAGTTTCTTGTAACATCCTATGATTGTATGGTAATGTACGTGTAACAAGTTTCTAGCAACACCCTATAGTTGTGTGGTGAAGTACTGTAACATGGTTCATGTAACACCCTCGAATTGTGTGGTAAAGTACGTGTAACATGTTTCTTATACCATCCTATAATTATATGGTAAAGTACGTGTAACAAGTTTTTTTAAGATTCTATAACTGTATGGTGAAGTACGTATAACAAGTTTCTTTTAACAACCTCAAATTGTATGGTAAATTATGTGTAACAAGTTTCTTGTAACATCCTATAATTGTATGGTAAAGTACCTGTAATACATTTCTTATTACATCCTCTAGTTGTATGGTGAAGTACTGTAACATTGTTCAAGTAACACCCTACAATTGTGTGGTAAAGTACGTGTAACAAGTTTCTTATAACATCCTATAATTATATGCTAAAGTACGTGTATCAAGTTTCTTGTAACACCCTATAGTTGTTAATGAAGTACTGTAATATGGTTTATGTAACTTCCTATAATTACATGGTAAAGTACGTGTAACAAGATTTTTGTAACATCCTTTAATTGTATGGTAAAGTACGTTTAATACATTTCGTATAACATCCTATAATTGTATGGTAAAGAACGTGTAACAATTTTCTTGTAAAATCTTATAATTATATGGTAAAGAACGTGTAACAATTTTCTTGTAAAATCCTATAATTGTATATTAAAGTACGTGTAACATGGTTCATGTAACACCCGATAATTGTGTGGTAAAGTACGTGTAACAAGTTTCTTGTAACATCCTGTAATTATATGGCAAGGTACGTGTAACAAGTTTCTTGTAACACCCTATAGTTGTTAGTGAAGTACTGTAACATGGTTCATGTAACATCCTTTAATTGTATGGTAAACTACGTGTAATACATTTCTTATAACTTCTTATAATTGTATGGTAAAGTACGTGTAAGACGTTTTTTATAACATCCTATAATTGTATGGTAAAGAACGTGTAACAATTTTCTTGTAAAATCCTATAATTGTATGGCAAAGTATGTGTAACAAGTATATTGTAGCATCATATAATTGTTTGGTAAATTACGTGTAACAAGTTACTTATAACATCCTATAATTGTATGGCAAAGTACGTGTAACATGGTTCAGGTAGCACTCTATAATTGTGTGGTATATTACGTGTAACAAGTTTCTTGTAACACCCTATAATTATATGGTGAAGTACTGTAACATAGTTCATGTAACACCCTACAATTGTGTGGTAAAGTACGTGTAACAAGTTTCTGATAACATCCTATAATTGTATGGTAAAGTACGTATAACAAGTTTCTTATAACATCCTGTAATTGTATGGTAAAGTACGTGTAACAAGTTTCTTGTAACATCCTATAATTGTATGGTAAAATGCGTATATAATTGTATGGTAAAGTACGTGTATCAAGTGTCTTGTAACATCCTATATTTGATTGGTAAAGTACGTGTAACAGCATGTAAAATGAGATTTTATGGGAAATGTTTGTTAGCATTTTTGTATCAGATGGCGAAATTTCAGAAAAGTATATGATTACGCGATCGATACCAGTAGTTGACCTTTAGTTTCCTCCGATCAGAATTTTCAAATTTCTACAAATTTTCTTACAGGATCGATACTAGTATCGGACCTTTAGTTTTCTCCAATCAGTATCTTCAGATCTCCACTAGATTGCCATCGACCTTGTTGTACGGATTGGGAGAACATAGGGATCATTTCCTCCGACGATCAGACTGGAAGATATATACGTTATTTAATAGAGGAGAACCTCCCAAGGTATTAACCAGTACTGTTTAATGATTTAAATATTTTACTGTCATATTAGCAATCGATGTGTTCGAAGGAAAACGAAGTTTGATTATAAACAAGATTACAACACTTATGATAAATAACATTGTTTATTGACTAAAAGAGGACATGAATAAACGTTTCGGAATTCTATCAGATTCCATCTTCAGTATCTAAAGCAGAATAAAATAAATTTACATCAGTCTTTATACATTTTCAAAGTACAGTTGCTGAATATAACGATAATTAAACAAATAAAATACTAAACAGTAATCATCGGGAGAAACTACAACAAGAAAACACAACGAAAAGAAAAAAAAACAAACGAAAAATCAGTAATACGAACATATTAAAAAATGTATAATTTAAATGAAGACTTTTCCAACACCTTCCTAACAAAGAAACTCACAAATCCAATTAAGATACCAACTGTACCTAAATTTACTATATACTCGTGTCTTCCTTATACTGGCAAACAAAGCTTAAATTTAAAAAATCAGCTTAAACGCATACTTGGTTGTTACTACCCTCAAATGGATTTAAGATTAGTTTTTAAATCCACATCACGCATAAAAAATTTCTTCCCTACTAAAGATCTCCTCCCCGTTCCTTATTGTTCTTGGCTTGTCTATCTTTACACGTGTGGAGACATTAAGGCCTCCTATATTGGCAAAACCAAACGCCATTTAAAAGTCAGAGCCTATGAACATATGGGAATTTCCATTAAAACGCAAAAAAATTGAATAACCCGTGTTTCCTCTATACGTCAACACAGTGAAGAAACAGGATATCAACCTATACTATCAAATTTCTCTATCCTCTGCGAGTCTAACACTGACCTGGAATTATTGATCAAAGAAACCCTCCACATCAAACAGCACTCTCCAACTCTGAACAACATGCAGTCTTCTTTACAACAACCACTGCTAGTACAAGGTTTGATACAATAACAAATTAGAGACTTAAAGCAACCCCTGCCACTACCAGGTCATTTACAAGAATACATCAAAGACTTACAACAACTCCTACCTGTACCAGGTTAGATACAACATCACATTAAAGACTTACAACAACCCCTACAATTACAAGGTTAGATACAACAACAAATTAAGGGGTTAGAACAACCCCTGCCAGTACCAGGTTAGATGCAACAACACCTTAAAGACTTACAAGAACCCCTATCTGTGCAAGGTTAGATACAACATCACATTATAGACTTAGAAGACTCCTGCCACTACTAGGTTAGATACAGCAAAACATTAAAGACTTACAAATAACCCCTGCCTGTACCAGGTTAGATATAATAAACATTAAAGACTTAAAACTACCCATACAATTACGAAAGTAGATACAACAACACATTAAAGACTTTAATCATCCCCTGAAAGTACCAACTTAGATCAAAAAACACATTAAAGACTTACAACAACCCCTGCCAGGACCAGTTTAGAAAGAACAAGATAATAAAAACTTACAACAGCCCATACCAGTACCAGGTTAGATACAACAACACATTAAAGACTTACGAACAACCCCTGCCAGTACCACGTTAGATACAACAACCAATTGAAGACTTACAACAATCTCTGCTAGTACTAGATTACATAAAATAACACATTAAAAACCCACAGCGACCACTTCCAGTACCCTATAGATAGAACATCACATTAAAGACTTAGAATATCCTCTGCCAGTACCAAGTTATATACAATAACACATTAAAGACTTAATAAAAACCCTACCAGTACCAGGTAAGATACAACACATTAAAGGCTTAAGAACAAACCCTGCCAGAACCTGGTTAGATGGAACAATACATTGAAGACTAACCAAAATCCCTGCAAGTCCCAGGCTAGATTCACCAACACATTAAAGATGTACGAACAATCCCTGAGGTACCAGGATAGAAACGAGGACACATTAAATACTTACAACTACTCCTACCTGTACCAGGTTAGATACAACCTCACATTAAAGCCTTACAACAATCCCTACTAGTACCAGGTTAGATACACCATCACTTTAAAAACTTCGAACAACCCTTGCTGATACCAGGTTATATACAATAAAACATTAAAGACTCACAAAAACCCTACTAATACCAGGTTAGATACACCATCACTTTAAAAACTTCGAACAACCCATGCCAATACTAGGTTATATACAATAAAACATTAAAGACTTACAAAAACCCTACTAGTACCTGGTTAGATACAACATCACTTTAAAGACTTACAACAACCTCTGCCAGTAAAGTTAGATAAAACAACACATTAAAGACTTAGAATAATCACTGCCAGTTATAGGTTAAATACAACAACACATTAAAGAATTAAAACAACCCCTGCTAGTAACAGTTTTGATGCAATAACAAATTAAAGATTTACAACAACCCTGGAACCACTAGATTAGTTACAGCAACAAATTAAAGTCGTACGAAAAACCCTTGCCACTACCATGTTATAAAATAAAAAAAACATTAAACACTTACAAAAACCACTGTCAGTTCCATGTTTGGTACAACAACACACGAAAGACTTACAACAACCCTGGCAGTACTAGGTTAGCTATAACAACAAATTAATAATGTACGAACAACCTCTGCCACTACCACGATATATACAAAAACACATTAAACACTTACAACAGTAACAGGTTAGAAACAAAAACAAATTAAAACAGTGATTAAGATATGTGATAGAAAAATACGTAAACCATTAAATAACACAGATTAAAATATGTGATGAAAGAATACTTAAACTATTAAATAATACTGATTAAAGTATGTGATAGTAAAATATTTAAACCATTAAACAACACTGATCAAAATATGTGATTGAAGATTATTTAAACAATTAAACAACACTGGTGCTCATAAGTGATAGTAAAATATTTAATACATTAAACAACACTGGTTAAAGTAAATGATAGTGAAATATTTAAACCATTAAACAACACTGGTTAAAGTATGTGATAGTAAAATATTTAAACCATTAAATAATACTAATTAAAATATGTGATAAAGAGTACTTAAACCATTAAATAACATTGATTAAGATGTGTGATAAGGAATACTTAAACCATTAAATAACTCTCATTAAGATATGTGATAGAAAAATACTTAAATCATTAAATAACACTGATTAAATAATGTGATCGAAATATACTTAAACCATTTAACAACACTGGTTAAAGAATGAGATAATAAAATATTTAAACAACAATGGCTAAGGTATGTGATAGAAGAATACTTAAATCATTAAAAACACTGAATAAAATACGTGATACAAGAATACTTAAACCATTAAATAACACTGATTCAAATATGTGATAGAAGAATAGTTAAAACATTAAATAACGCTAAAGAAAATATGTGATAGAAGAATACTTAAACCATTAAATAACATCATTATAATATGCGATAGAAAAATACCAAAATCATGAAATATCACTGATTAAATATGTGATAGAAGAATACTTAAAACACTAAATAACACTGAATAAAATATGTGATATAATGGTTTAAGTATTCTTGTATCACATATTTCAATCAGTGTTGTTTAATGGTTTAAATGTTTTACTATCACATCATTTAATCAGTGTTCATTAATGTACTAAATATTTTACTATCACTTATTTGAACCAGTGTTTTTTAATGGTTTAAATATTCTTCTATCACATACTTTAATCAGTGTTATTTAATGGTTTAAGTACTCTTCTATCACATATTTTAATTGGTATTATTTAATGGTTTAAGTATTCTTGTATCACATACTTTAATCAGTATTATTTTGTGGTTTAAATATTCTTGTATCACATATTTTAATCAGCGTTGTTTAATGGCTTGACTATTTTACTATCACATACTTTAACCGGTGTTGTTTAATGGTTTAAATACTTTATTGTCACATATTTTAATCACTGTTATTTAATGTTTAAGTATTCTTCTGTCATATATTTTATACAACGTTATTTAGTGTTTTAAGTATTCTTCTATTACATATTTTAATCAGCGTTCTTTAATGATTTAAGTATTTTTCTATCACATATTTTAATCAGTGTTATTTAATGATTTAAGTCATTTTCTATCGCATAGTTTGATCAGCGTTCTTTAATGATTTCAGTATTCTTCTATCACATATTTTAATCAGTGTTATTTAATTTTTAAGTATTCTTCTATCATATCTTTTAATCAGTGTTATTTATGGTTTAAATATTCTTCTATCACATCTTTTAAACAATATTAATTAATGTATTAAATATTTTACTATCGCATAGTTTGATCAGCGTTCTTTAATGATTTCAGTATTCTTCTATCACATATTTTAATCAGTGTTATTTAATTTTTAAGTATTCTTCTATCATATCTTTTAATCAGTGTTATTTAATGGTTTAAGTATTCTTCTATCACAAATTTTAATCAGTGTTGTTTAATTGTTTAAATATTTTACTATCACATATTTGAACCAGTATTATTTCGTGGTTTAAATATTTTACTATCACATATTTGAACCAGTATTATTCCATGGTTTAAATATTTTGCTATTACATCCATTAACCAGTGTTGTGTTGTGTATTAAATATTTTGCTATCACATATTTGCACTTTTGTTGTTTAATGGCTTAAATATTCTTCTAGCACATAGTTTAGTAGTTGTTATTAAATAATTTATATATTTTACTATCACATATTTTAACAAGTGTTGTCTAATGGTTTAAATATTTTACTATCACATATTTTAATCAATGTTATTTAATAATTTAAGTATTCTTCTATCACATATTTTAATCAGTGTTACTTAATGGCTTAAGTATTCTTCTATCACATATTTCAGTCTGTTTTCTTTAATGGTTTAAGATTAAATCATATTTCTGTCTTAAAAATATATAATTTACCTATCCAACCAAAATCCTATAAAAATGCCTACTTTATCAACTATCAACTCCTCATTTCCTTTGGTGCGCTGACCCACTTTTGGCATTATCATTACAACGTTCATTGTTGTAAACATATGGATACGTTTACAACCTTTATTGCTGTAAACATATACACACGTTTTAATCGTTCCAACGGAGATAAAACAAGTTCTACTTATTGTCGAAGCTTTTCATCTTGGTTTGATTGTTTTGTCTTTACGTACCAGATACATTTGTTGTATCTTTCTAGGACGATCCTACGATGAACATGTACGGTAGCCATCCTTTCTACTTGCTTCTAGAAAATGATGGGAAAAGCCATGGAGTCTTTTTATTAAACAGTAACGCAATGGGTAAGAATTATTCAGTAGAAATATACTTCAAACAGAACAAACATACACTGATAATCTTAAGTTGAAAGTGACTCAGAAGTTAAAACCTTTGTATTGTTGTATAAACACAACTTGAAAGTTATCCAGAAGACAAAGCATTTATATTGACGTATAAACACAAGTTGAAAGTGACTCAGAAGCTAGAACGTTTATATAAATGTATAAACATAAGTTGAAAGTGACCTATAAATTAAAGCGCTTATATTAATGTATAAACACAAGTTGAAAGTGACTCAGAAGTTACAACGTTTATATTGATGTATAAACACAAGTTGAATGTGACTCAGAAGCTACAACGTTTATACTGATGTATAAACATAAGTTGAAAGTGACCTATAAATTAAAGCGCTTATATTAATGTATAAACACAAGTTGAAAGTGACCTATAAATTAAAGCGCTTATATTAATGTATAAACACAAGTTAAAAGTGAC